GAAAACAAAGTACACTTGTGCAACAGAATGGCTAATTAACAAAAACTACAACAGAAGCATGCATAAAAAGTGCATTATCACCTATTCAATGCTAATTCTCTGACATTTAACCAACAATACACAAAGACCATTCACCCATGCCAACCCACCCAGCAGCTTCAGAGTAACATCCCGAGTCCCACAGAACGAAACTTTTTACAAACACACACTAACTGCTCCCCTCCCCGGAATGAAAATGTGCTGTATCTAGTTCATGAAATCAGTGGCAAAAATCCTGTTGACTTCAATAATAGCAGGATTGGGCCCAGGGTCGTGACTCCTCCATCATAAAAGTAGACAGAAAATTCATCAAATGAGTTACAAAAAACTTGGGATGATAATGAGATTAAAAACCCAGAAGTAGCAACGACCCAAATTTTTAAAGGTTTGTATGCCCAAGAGGAATGTGCAAAACGCTCCTTTAAAAATTGGGGTCAAAAACTTCACATAATAAAAATAAAGAAAAATTAACATTTTATGCACAGACAATGCTTTCTGCTCTCTCTTTTCTTTCTCCCTAAATATTATGCATGGTTTTCTTCCTGGCTTTTCCCAAACAATCTGTTTTCTAATTCTGATAGTATGTAAATGCCCTCCAGCATTGCCCCCTGCACTGAAAACCCATCAAAATCTTTAACACCTTCAATGTGTAATTAGAAAATACAAAACTCTTTGTGAGGTCTAAAATGTTTGTAGAGCTGCAGAGGTGTTTTCTGCTTAATTTGCTTTTTACAACTAATCATTCCATGGATGCTGTTGTGAGACAGTGGATAACTCTTCCAGGCAGCCATGCAGAGCTTTCCTGAGAGGAGGAGTGACTTTTTAGCCAAGCTTGTACAAAGTCTTTTCCACCCATGCATCCTTTTGCCTATGGTCATTTCAAAGAGGTTTATGACTCAGGTCTGGAGACTGTAGGGTGTGTTCAGGTTAAAAAACCACAACACATCAAATCTGGGGCCCTATTCTCCTACTAGGGGATATGCAGTGTTGTCAACCCCAAGGCTTCAAAAACATGAGACAAACCCAAATAAATTATGTGATTGGCTTAAAGATCACAAGATTTTTTAAAATTGCTGTTTTGGAGAGACCTGACTTCTAATTTTCACACTTTTTATGGAAACCTTCATCTTTTTAATTATTTGTTTATATCATGGTAGCACTAAGATCAGGACTGGGCCCTGTTGTGGTAGGTGCTCTACAAGCAGAGTGGTGAATCCCTGCCCTGAAGAGCTTATTGTCTAGGTGGAAGATGGACACAGTGTGAAGGGTTGGGGATGGGAAAACAATTAAATATATATAAAAATGTATACATAAATTTCATTTGTTTTTTCAATTTTGTAATTACATAAGTAAAAGACATCAACTGTCCCTCAGCCAGCTCCCCTAGCAGCCCCTCAGTCTAGCTATGAAATGGTGACTGATTTCTTGTAGGAGCTGTGACAGAAGTGTGTCTCTAGAAGAGATTTGAAGGAGAAGGGGGAGCAGCCTTACAGATCAGTTCAGAGTGTTTCAGGATAAGAGGCAGCATGGAAGAAAGGGGATGAAAGGATGAAGGTGTTTGCTGGAGGAGCATAGAAGAAGGTAGTTGAGGCAGGCAGCACTGGAAGAGTGGAGGAGGGAGGGTGATAACTAGGTGACAAGAGCAAGTTTATAGGAAGGGGGCAGAGCTGTGGCAGGCTTTGAAAGTAAAGACAGGAAGCTTGTACTTGATATGATGGGAAACGAAGGACTGGGGGGGCTGCAGAGCAATAGTCTAAGGAGATTATTTTAGCAGCAGCATTTTGTCTGAATCAGAAAAGGGCATTTATACTCATTTGTGCATGTGGAGGAAAATTCAACCTGGAACAAACACAAAATGCAAGCACAGCAAACGGGGAGAAGGGGACTCCCACTCTTCCTTCTGGCAGACTGAACCTTTCCCTCTCAGCCCCTTTCCTTCCCTAGACATGAGCATTCAGCAGCTCCTTTTATTATTGTTTGTATTAATCATGTTTATTACAGTAGTGCCAAAGGGCCAACCAAGAGTGGTGCCCGATTGTGCTAGGTTCTGTACAGAGAGTCATAGACGCTCCCTGCCCCGAAGAGTTTACAATCTAAAAAGACCAGACAGACACATGATAGGGGAAGAGGTGGAACACAGAAGCAGAGTGAACTTTGTGATGGCAGTTACATGTTTTCCGGGGCGGGGGGTGGGGGGGGGATGAGATGGGTTTACTTAGGAGGGAAGGAAGTGAGCAGGAGAGGAGGATAAGGGGGTCAGGTGAGGAGTGAAGCTGACTGAAGAGACTGAGGGTGCGAGGAGTGGAGCAAACAGCCATTCAGCTCAGGGCAGAGAAAGTCCAGCTAAAATTGTAGAAAGTTCTTTGAATGTGCCGAGGTCCCTGCTTTCCCTGCACCTGCTCCTACCAGCTGGAGTCTCTGGCTGGCTGCTATCTGCAGTTTTCTCCTAAGGCCACATGATGGTGGGGAGAGGAGGCACCCACCATCCTGGGGATGAGATGAGCAGAGACCGCATCCAAAGGGGCAGGAACTCAGTGCAGCTGCAGAGCATACTGCAGGCTCCTCACCTGCAAAGGGGACTGCTCTGCTGCAGACTGGGGAGGATGCTGCACTGCTAGGATTACTCCTTCCACTGCTGTTCCCCTTTCTTAGCACCTGCCTAGATTATGACTCCTTACTGTACCCCAATGGGGAAAGGAGGAGGAGATGGGAGAGCTGGAGAGACTGCTAGTGCCATATGGCCAATTCAATGGCCTTGCCTGCCTTAGGTCTTTGCCCCACTCAGGAGTGCACTGTGCAGAAGAGGTGCACAGAAAATGCAGGCTGCAGTGTTAGAGAGGTAGGGTGGTCCAGTGGTTAGGGCACTATCCTAGGACTTGAGACACCTAGGTTATGTTCCCTGCTTTGCCACAGATGTCCTGTGACCATAGGTAAGCCACTTAGTCTCTCTGTGTCTCAGTGCCCCTCTGCAAAATGGGGATAACAGCACTGCCCTGCCTCAGAGGTGTGATGAGGATAGGTACATTAAAGATTGTATGGAGCTCTGTTACTATGGTGTTGGGGACCATATAAGTATCTTAGTGAGGAAGCTGGAGGGAGGTCAGTCAAAATTCTTGGGTTTGCCTGCTGCTCGCTCATACTAATGCTGATTGACAATAGAGTGAATGCTGGCTACGTGGTGCCAGATTTTCAAATGCTGAGCAACCACAATTGAGGCCAAATTTTCAAAAGAGCTACAATCCCCTTGAGGCACCAAAATAACTGGTCAGATTTTATTATTACTATAGTGCCTAGTAGTCCTAGTCATGGACTGGGACCACATCAAAAGTGTTTAGCATCCAGCCCCCATTTTCACCTTGGGGGGTACTTTGGAAAATCTGGCTGCTTATTTGATGCCTAAATGGATGCTGACCTCTTTTGAAAATGTGATCCTAATAGTGGTGCTGAGCTCTTTTGGAAATCGGATCTTTAATGTTGTAAGTAACAAACCCTATTGTGAAGGGACTATTCATGACAGATCTATAAACCCCTTTATTTGACAGGTTGAGCCTTAACCAAGTCTGTACTAACAGGCCCTGCTATGATGGGATGGATTTTGCAAGGTCCATTTCTAATTAACAAAAGGTTGGAATTCTTCACAAATGAATTTAGTAAAATGGTTTGAATAAGTAAAGCTTTGTTTTGAGATATATCCACCAGCTTTTTAAGAGTCACATTTTATCTTCTCTGGCCATGTCTGCACTAGCGAGCTTACAGCGGCACAGCTGTACCGATGCAGCTCGCCGCTGTAAGATCATTCATGTAGCAGTTCTATGCTCTCTTGTCAACATAATAAAACCACCTCAACCAGCAGCGGTAGCTATGGCAACAAGAGAAGCTCTCCCGCGGACAGCTATGCACACTACCACTTATGCAAATAAAACTTATGTTGCTCAGGGGAGTGTTTTTTCCACACCCCAGAGCAACATAAGATTTGCCGACATAAATGGTAGTGTGGACATCACCTCTGATCCCTGAAAATAATAGTTCCAACTGTTTACATTGTCTTCTCTTGTAGCAATGGAACAGAAGACTTAACTCGTAGTCCAAATACTCACAAGCACTGAAGGGCTGATTTTTTTTCTCAGCTACACACGTTTTTCACTTAGCTTGTCTTTGTTTAAAATTTGATTAGAGTGCATTTTCATTTTAATTGACTCATAAATATTAATGGACTGATTAAGCAAAATTGGCTGCTGGAGCTATTAAGTTCTGAGAGATTTCTGGGGCCTGTTATCAGAAAGGTTACTGTCTGTTCTGAGGGCTATCACTGCTAGCATTCTGTAGTAAATTCCCCATGAAGAGTCTCTTCATAGGCTTGCTCCTGCTGCTCTTGAAAACCCACACTGCCTTCAACTGGAGCAGGATTGGACCCTCAGTCCTAACACGAGTGGGTATTTTTCCAGCTGCCAGAATGTCAGTCAGCTGAGGAGCCACTGTAAAGGGGCCATGGCCTGAAGTTTTTGGCGTCACCTTGACTGACTACTTTTTTCCAGAGGTCAGCTAAGGAGTGGGTGAACAGGGACAAATGGCTCAAAGATGAATCTTCTTCCCCACCCCAATTAAGCTGCTTGGAGGAGCTGGAATCCTGCAGAGCAGACAGGAAATTGAGGTGTGAATTAGTATAGTCTGGAGAGTTAAACTGTGGATGTTGTGTGCTGTAATAGGTTCTTAGGTGCCTAGATATCTTGGAGATGGGCACATTAGAAATCCTGAGAATGACAGGCGACAGACAATAGTCATTGTAGCATTTTGAGTAAAGCTGTTGGGCTATTTTGCTTAAAGAATGCCAATAAACATACCTTTATTACAACTATAATAATTAGATATGTCTTTCTTTTTGTTTAATAGAGAGAGAAGGTGTGTGAGGTAAAATGGACACCTTTCTATTATCTATAATTGTATTCTGTTTCATTTTGCAGGGTAATTGTCTTTGATGCTGAGCAGAAAGTCTTGTTACAATGAGTTATTGGAGCCTGGATAAGAAAAATTGTCTGCAGTACTGCAGACATTTTTTAGTGGACAATGGCGTATTTCATGGTAAGCTGCATGTTTTCTTTTCATTTCTTACTTCACTCGGATGCAACTGAAATTTTATAGTGGCACATAACTAGGTAATAATTATCTTCTTGTAGATAATAAAAAGTAGATTTAGTAATGCTTTTTAATGTTTTGGAGTTACAGTTTTTACTTGGCAAGATAATAGGGCATATTAGTTTGTTATGGAAGTGCTTGTTGAAGCATACCACTTTAATTACAATTTACTATAATAAAAATGTATTGATTGATGGTGTAGGTCAAGGGTATCATGTAAACATATCAGGGAAAGTTCTGCTTTTATACTTCTGATGATGGCCAGAAATACTGGAGAAAATCCTGCAGTTTACAATTTTTCCCATGCTTTGGGCATAGTCATATTCTGTGTCTTTTATGTTTAAGACAGACAGTCATATTCAGTACTGATGTGTTTCCATTGACGCTCATGGTGTTGCACCCAGTTATATCAGGGTTGAATTTGTGCCAAAATCTCCAAGATCACTTAAGCTCTATTAAACTGCAAGCTCCCTGGTAAAGTGGCAGTTCAGCAGGCAGTACTGTCAGTCCCTGGTGGAGATGTAGTTTCCATTTGTGCTGAAAGAGAACTGTGGGGGACGTGGGAGGAGGATTTTTGGTTGGTGTAGCTGACCAGGTCTAGATTAAAGCTGTGTTCCTTAGGTAGGCAGCTTTGTAGCTGGCCAAGAGGCTTGTGAACATCCCTGTGTTGAATAACGTGCTTTTAATTTCTTGTCAATTCATATGACTGTATATTTTAATGAGTATTGGAGACTTTCAAGATAACTGCTTTGACCTGCTGAATCTACAGTTCAGATTTTTTTAAAGCAATAATCAAACCTTTCATTTAAGTCTTTTTGTTAATGTCAATATTTTCCCCAGTTCATCTTGCATTTTCCCATTTGTCTCTCAATATGGACAGCATGTGCCTGAATGAATGAGGTGCAGCAGGTTCCTTAGTATGTAGAGCTCAGCTACAGGAGGGATAGAGACTGCTTAAAGTCCTGCCTATGCTGTAACTCTTAACTAAGTTTGTACTACTGTAGTTAGTGACATGGCACAACATAGTTACTACTCAGTAAGCATGGCAGCTAACACTGGGTCACCCTTTTCAGAGACTAGGCTGACATATAGTTGTCCTCCTGTAACTGGTTTGGCATGCGGCTTTTGTATATTATATCCGTGATACCCCCACCACCACACACATGCCACCCAGGCCAGTTGTCCTTCCTCCCAGCTCTCTGTGTATCCCAGAGTGCACTGAACCCAGGTGATGCTGGTGCCACTCTGTGTTCATGTACTCACGGTACTATATTCCCCTGCTGAGACACTGGAGATAGCTGCCCAATTTTTTCCAGAATGCACCAATACGAATAGTTGAACAAAGCGGTAGGTGTGAATGCACACACACGGCTGTGCTACGAATAAGGTTTCTGTGTGGACACAACTCACTTGTATATTTTGTAACTATGTTAGGTGAGTGTCATGAACTAGTTACAAAAGCACTGTATTGGTAGTACAGACAGGGCCATAGTCGGGATCATGCTCAAGGCTGTTCACCACCTAACAGTAGTAAAACATGTTTTTGTGATATGTTCAAAGTGAGCCATAGTCACTGATCTGTTTCATCTCTGCAGCCCCATTGACATCACTGGGGTTGGACAGGTGTAGCTAATGGCTGAATATTGCCCCAGTACATGATACAACATACCTAATGTGGACTCATACCGCCCCTGTGATGCTGGTCTAACACACTGCAATATATTTATGATAAGATATAAGGCCTGATTCTCCTCTCACTTACAGTTGGGCAAAGCAGGAGTAATTCTACTCGAATCAGTCATTCTGATTCTGAGTGTCATTGTTGCTGGGCCATAAGAACCCCAACCCCTCTTGAGTTCCCCATGGTTTATATTAAATGTGGGCCATAGGAAACAGAAACTCTGGGTCACAGGACACTGGCCATGCGTACTTCTCTCCCAGGAACATCTCCTCCCATCACCTCCTTCCCCCTTACATATCCCGTATGGCAGAGGCTGGGAAGGGGAGTGAAGCAGGGTCCTTATGTTTACTGTATACTAGCCAGAGGAGGTGTTCCCCAAAGGCAGTGTCCATCAGCTTTCCAACCCCTGTACCCCACCAGAGTAGTGTCCTTGGGGATCACAGTGGAGAATCAGGCCCAGTGACTTATGCTAGTGTAAAATTGGTGTAATTTAGGCAACAATCAGACCCATAATTTTACAGCTGCAGTCATCTAGGCAATTACTGTGTGTGCTGGGGCGGCTGCCCCACGCCCGGAGAGTGTGGGCTGCGGCAGGCCCGGGTGCCTGCATAGCCCGGCAGCCAATAAGAGAAGGGCTTGTTGTGAGCCAATCAGAGCCCAGATTGGGGACAGCCAATCAGGGCCAGGCTCAGCCATATAAAAGACTGCTCAGGGAGCGAGTGGTTAGTCTGTCCCAGTCCCAGGCCTTCAGAGGGGAAGGTCTGTCTCCAGAGCTGGGAGGCCAGTACCACGGACAGCGCAGTGCAGGCTAGCCTTGGAGAGCGGGAGAAGGCCCTACTCTGTAGCCTGGCCGGCGGCAGGCCTTGAAGGAAAGGGCCTAGCGGGAAGAAGAGCCGTTGGGAAAGCGGTCCAGAGGAACAGACAGAGGAGGAAGGAGAAGGAGGGCAGCGAGGCTGTCACTAGAGGGCCTCTGGACCGGGACTCAGAGTAGTGGGTGGGCCTGGCTCCCCCCTCTTTTTCCCCTTGGCAGTACACCCAGCCATAGGCTGCAGGGAGTGGCCAGCAGAAACTACACCAGATCCCGGGCTGTAGGGATCGGACTTGGAGGTGTAGGACTGTTGATCATCCAGCCCCCGGAAGGAGGTGTGAATGGACAAAGGGATACTGTTGGAGGGCAGTGTTCCAGAAGAGGACACCGTGCGTCGGGAGCAATGCGGGTCCACACGCCAACCAAAGGCGGGACGACAGATGGGACACCACCAGAAGGGGGTGCTCTACTGGATCGAACCAATTCCCCAAGATGACCGGTAGGAGGTGCTGTGGTGGTGAGTTCCAACCTTGTCACACTGTGGAAATCTGGAGTCTGTATGGTTTATTAAAATTAGATATACTATTTTAATCACTAAGTGCTGCAGGACTAAGCAAGGTGAGGAAGTGTTCTCCACTTATAAAAGGGGCACAGGGTAACCAATTCCTTACAGAGGGGTCCAAGGTTATTCTCCCTAGGAAAATATTTGAAGGCATATAATTTGATGGAATCTGGTGGATTCCAAAGTAAAACCTCCACCCTTCAGAATTAACTTTTACCTCAGACTCAGAAAGTTATCTCTGGAGTTACGGTTTTGTATATCAAGAGGACAGGGATGAACTCCATCAGGGACAGAGAAATTCCTGTGTATCCCTCTTCTCTCTTAACACTGGTGAAAATGATGGGTGTTTCTTTCAGAGCTGGCTATTAGTACAAGTGAAGTAGGTGATTGATTAGGGCCCTGCCATTTTGGGTTTTTGCAAGCTTTGTGATTCATGAGCTGGCTCTTCTGAAGCCAGATCTGGCTGGGAGATAACTCATAACCTGATCCCTTCCCTCCAGCAGTTTGGGCTCCTGTTGTTGCTTGGGGCCTGGTTGCTGCCAGTCATAAAATTGATCCTGCTTATTATGATCATAGTAAAACTTATATTTAATACAAGGATCTAACTTAAACCAGCCAAAGCAGAGAGATTCAAGAGTTATGGCTGTCACCTTCTGTATCTGTACTCATGAAATCCTTGCCCTGTTGAAGTCAATGGCAAAACTCCTACTGACTTTAATGCGGCCAGGATTTCGCCCATGGTATCTATGTAGTGCAGGAAGTTCACAAGGGTTTTTGTGGAACTATGTGTAGTGAATGTGCTAAAATAACGTTTGTGCTAAAATTTGCAGTGCTAAGTTTTGTGCTGAGTTACTTGAGTTTGCACATGTCACTTAATGCAGGATTTAGCTTGAAATACTGCACAATGTTTTGCTAGTGTCACTGCCTCTAAGGGTATGTCTACACTACCCGCCGGATCGGCGGACAGCGATCGATCCAGTGGGGGTCGATTTATCGCGTCTTGTCTAGATAAATCGATCCCCAAGCACTCTCCCGTCGACTCCTGTACTCCACCGCCACGAGAGGCACAGGCGGAGTCGACGGGGGAGTGGCAGCAGTTGACTCACCATGGTGAAGACACCACGATCTAAGTACGTTGACTTCAGCAACGTGAATAACATTATTCATGTAGCTGAAGTTGCGTAACTTAGATCGATCCCTTCCGCCCCTCCCCAGTGTAGACCAGGCCTTACTGTATAATATATATTTCTTTAAAAAGAACAGGAGTACTTGTGGCACCTTAGAGACTAACAAATTTATTTGAGCATAAGCTTTCGTGGGCTACAGCCCACTTCTTCGGATGCATAGAATGGAACATACAGAGAGCATGAAAAGGTGGGAAAATTGAAATCATGGTGGAATTCCTTAAGAGCTTCTTTTCCATCGGTCCAGACGATGAAGATGTCATCAATGTAGCACAAGTAGAGTAGGGGCGTTAGGGGATGAGAGCTAAGGAAGCGTTGTTCTAAGTCAGCCATAAAAATGTTGGCATACTGTGGGGCCATGCGGGTACCCAGCACTGCTATGGCTGTCACCTTCAGCCCCCAACTAAAACCTCTCCAGCGCATCATCAAAGATCTACAACCTATCCTGAAAGATGATCCCTCACTCTCACAGATCTTGGGAGACAGACCTGTCCTTGCTTACAGACAACCCCCCAACCTGAAGCAAATACTAACCAGCAACCACACATCACTGAACAAAAACACTGACCCAGGAACCTATCCTTGCAACAAAGCCCGATGCCAACAGTGTCCACATATCTATTCAAGTGACATCATCATAAGACCTAATCACATCAGCCATGCCATCAGGGGCTCGTTCACCTGCACATCTACCATCATGTGCCAGCAATG